AGGACTCTGATTTTCCCTGGGACAGAAAGTGGGTGGAAAGTTAACATTTAAAGGTCACAAAGCAGAAAAAGGTTGAGCTCTGTCTTCCTTAAAATACAACCTCACCATTTCCCTTTTCCTCACCCTCACCCTTCCTTGATCCTGAAGCTTAGAGAGCAGAGTAAAATTCAATTTCCAAGAGAGAAAAGTCAGCAGCATGCCATTTACTGGATTAGCAAGCAACGGGATCAACTAATGAGTACTTACATCCACTCCTCTCATCTCCCACTCATTTTGGAACACCGTGGAGGAAACAAAGAGGGAAAATGTATGACTAAACTATGATTAGTTACTCTGTAACAAACATACAAGAATTTATAAATTCAAAATAGTATTCTCCTTCAATAAGTGCAAAAATAACTTGGAAGGTTATGCACTTATTTTAATGATGCCTCCCCCATTGCTCAAATTATTTAAAAAAACTCCTCACAGAATTCCCTTGAGAAGCAGTTTAGAAACTCCACCTGAGATCTTCCTTTATTGTCACACCTCATTTACCACTCACATCATTCAGTAGTCTAGCTAGTATTGATGGAGTCCTACTATAGTATGGCACAGGGGTGCAATGGTGAAGAAATCTTCATGGAGCTTACAGATGGGGGAAACCCCCAAACACAAACTTTAGCTGTCAAAGTCCACAGGAAAACATGTGTTGTTACTAGAGTCTGCAAAGAGTATTTGACTTGGTGAGGCTGCACTGAGGGGAAGGTGAAAGCAAGAGGGTTAGGGGTAATGAATACTTGAAAGCCTTGTGACAGGAAGGAAAATGCAAGCCAACAGGCTCCAAAGCAGAATGTTTAAAGTGAATGGAAGCAGGGCCTCCCCGGTGGCGCAGTGGTTGAGCGCTGGGTTGCGAAGCTGCCCGTGGCTTCTGCGGCCCCGGTTCTATCACCAGCTGCTCCCCAGCCACCAGAGGAGGGTCCCACATGGCGCGCAGACCTCTCCTGCCGCCCACTGCTCCCCTCAGCAGTGTATTTTGTCATTCTGTCTGTTCTGCTCCCTGCTCTGGCTCTGGTGAATTCTCTCACCCTCCCGCGCTTCTGACTGTACCCAGTGCATGTATAAACAAAACAAATAAATAAATAAAATGCCTCTATTTAAAAAAAAAAAAAGTCATACTTATCAAATGTAAATTGAAGAAAAGATGTACATTTAAAAAAAAATAAATAAAGTGAATGGAAGCAGAATGTGAGACATGGGTAGGTTCAGAACATAAAACAACTGTTAGCACATTTTATAGTATCTTTCTCCTAAGGACAATATGAAATGCTCTACCCTATATGTATTGATACATAACAAATCACCAAAAAAATCAGTGATTTGACACTACTTTTTAAAAAATATTATCTTGAATCTCTTTATTTTATTTTTGCTTATAAGAACTGGGGCATAAGCCAGAGGTGAAGGGTGGGGTGGGGAGAGGATTCACCAGAGACAGTGAGGAACAGAACAAGCAGATTGACTGAAATACACTGCAGCAGATGAAACAGGAGAGGTCTGCTGCGCCATGTGGGTTAGCTCCATGGCTGGAGATCAAACTCAGGCTGTAGTGGTGATAGAGGTGAGACTTAACCCCTAGACCACCAGGGAGACCCTTGACACAACATTTTTAAACTTTAAAAAAATATTTATTTATTTATGCATACACGAACTGGGGTGTAGGCCAGAGGTGTTGGGGGAGGGGAGAGGATTCACCAGAGACAGAGTGGGGAGAATAACAGGCGGACCCACTAAAATACACTGCTAAGGGGAGCAGTGGGCAAGACAGGAAAGATCTGCTGCGCGCCGTGTGGGTCAGCTCCCTGGCTGAGGCTCAAACACATGCCAATGTGAATGAACAGTGCTGAGAATTTTACCCATGTAAACTACTGTTTTTTGGTTGTTTTTTTTTTTTTCATGATTCTGTGGGTTGGCTAGGGATTTCCTCTGCTCTTTTCACCTGGGCTCATTCACGTAGCTACATTCAGTGGGTAAGTCAATTAGAAAGAAAATCTAAGATGACCTCACCGTCGTCAGTGCTATCAGTGCTGGCCACTGGCTGGGGCTCCTCAGTTCTCCTCCATGTGGCCTTATCTGCCAGTGAACTTCCTTATCGGTGGTTTCAGGGCAGTGTTTCAAATGGACAAAGGCAGAAACTGCAAGGCCTCTGAAAGACTAGGCTCCAGAATTCACACATCACTCCTACCCCAGTCTGTTGATCGAAGCAAGTAACAAGGTGAGCCCACATTCAAGCCATAGTAAATAGTTCTTCATGGGGGAAGTAGCAAAATCACATTGCATAGGAGTTTGCGGCTAACAATTACCACCCCATTAAAAGGTTTCAAATGGGAGTTTTAAGATGTTTTAAGAAGGGGTATATGGTAGGACATGATTGGGTTTGTGATTTAGAAAGATCGTTGTAAGTAGTGTGGAGAGAAGCATGCAGACTGGTCAGAGGCTCCTACCAGGGTCTAAGCAAGACATGGTGGCAACTTGGACTAGGGTGGTGTACTAGAGGAGGACAGAAGTTGGTGACTTAGAGAGATATTCAGGAGGCACAGTGTTGGTGATAAGGGTTAGTGATATGTTGGTAAAGGAAGGTGAGAACAGGGAGGGACCTAGTGTTGAGCCACGGGCTTATTGCTGCTCATATGCACAGCAGTCAATTAATGGGACACTAGGTTTTGAGAAAAGGAAGAGGTTTTTTTTTTAATTTTAATTTTAGGGAAGAGGTTTATATTTATTTGGGGGGAGCAGGGTTGAGAACAGGAGTTAAATTTTATTGGCAGGTTAGGCAAAGGAATGTGGATTTGACTGAATTTTATTGGCTATAGAGCAGTTTATACATGGAGAAAAATGAAGAGGGTTCTCTCTCTCTCTCTCTCAGATAAGTGGAGTTGTAAATTTCGTGATGGGTCACTCCCATCATTTTCAGTTCCATGTTGGAGCTCTGTCAGTTTTGGTTGGCTTGAGGTTTTGTTGAAGGTCATATATCTCTGTACACATTTAGCTTGCATCATCTGTTGATAAGAACCCAGGCTGTGTTGCGTCTGTGAAAGCAAATCTCAAAGAAAAGTTAGATAAGTTTTGTGTAGCTTAGGAATCTGAGGTCATTTTAATTCCAGTTTCTTTTTTTTTTTTTTTTTTTTTTTTTTTAGGCATGTTTTATTTATTTATTTGTTTGTTTGTTTTGTTTATACATGCACTGGGCACAGTCAGAAGCGCGGGAGGGTGAGAGAATTCACCAGAGCCAGAGCGGGGAGCAGAGCAGGCAGAAGGACCGAAGTACACTGCTGAGGGGAGCGGCGGGCGGCAGGAGAGGTCTGCGCGCCATGTGGGACCCTCCTCCGGTGGCCGGGGAGCAGCCGGGGATCGAACCGGTGCCGCAGAGGCCGCGGGCAGCTTCGCAACCCATCGCTCAACCGCTGCGCCACTGGGGAGGCCCTTAATTCCAGTTTCACTAGGAAATGGATAAAGAAAAAAGTAGGAAACACTGGAAGAGATGTTGCTTGTACACAGAGATCATCAGTTTGGGTTCTTGAAGATAAACATAAAAGTAACTTGAGCAGATATACAGGTCTGGCACTTAAGATTGGTTTTGGCTGGATGCTTTGGTAGCATTCTATAATTACATCCACCTTAAAAGATATACGATCAACTGAAGATATTAAAAGACATGAGATCTCTGAATACCATTCCAAAGAGAAGTTCCAAAAAAGTTTTCAATTATGACAGCATTACTGGAATATTAGCTTACCCCAAGTGACCATGACTGCATTACAACTCAGAAGTTCTGCAATGTTTCCTTACAAAAATCATGGCATTCCTCCTGACAAAAGAATATCCTCTATGGCTTAAACAATTTAGTTTTTAAAAATTGCCTGTTAAAGTCAGTAAATGACACGGATGTAGAGAAGTCCATCTTGTACTGACTAAGAAAGACGGGTGTTGAAAATGTTGGACACTGAGAAGTTAAAGTGAACACAATATAGGCTGAGGCACAGGATAATAAAGAAACTGATGTGTGGTGTTTACTGTGTGCTAGGCATCATTCTAAGCATCTGAATATATAAATTCATTCAGCCCCTATTATTATCTACATTTTATAGATTAGGAAACCAAGCCCAGAGAAATTAAGTAACTTGCTCGAAATGTCACAACTAGTAAGTGGTGGTTAGGATTTGAACTCCATCCAGCTGGCTCTAGAATCTGGGCTGTGACCCTCTACAACAGAACCTGCACTGCAGGTTCAGGAGGAGGGTGAGGAGGCAGCTGGGGGTTAGGTGTGGCACCACGAGGGAATGTGGGTCGTGGATACTATGTCCTGTTTACTTGTGCAGGAAGTCAGACCCCTGAGTCAGAGCTCATGCTGAGCTGCTTTGCTGCAACCATCATGGTGTGTGGGTGTCTAGGCCTGGCTACTCTGGAAGGAAAGGATTCCCATCATTCCTAAGGCCATGGTCCTGGAATCCAAGTCCCTGCTTAGACTGAGCTATCAGCAGGAGTTGAGCATTTTGGGGAGCATGAAATTTGGCCAGCCAGTCTTAGAAGAACACACGGAGCTCGTATATAGAGTTGAGGAGAGAATGAGACGTTAAAGCCAGGAAGCACCCATCCCAACGTCCAGGCGCCCTTTAAAGATTGGGCAGGATGGGCAGTGTCATTGGCCCCGGAAGGCTGCTTGGGTGGGGCCGTGTAGGAGTGTGACCTGGCCCGTGGGTTTGTGGAACCCTGTGCCAGTGGCTGAGGGCTTCGCCATCACTGGTATTCCCGGCCTCGCGCCTCCACCGCCCCCATGCATGCCACGGCGGGGAGCGACCTGACCACCGCGTCACGCCTCAAAGGGCGGAGTCCCACTATTAAAAGGGGCGAGAGGCCGCGGCGCCGGCCCCAGGACGCGACCCGGGCCACAGAGAGGGTCAGTACGTTCTGTCTATTGAGCCGACCGCGTTAGCGACGCCCTTGAGTGGCCGCCGGACACCATGCAGCTCCTGGTGAAAGTGCCGTCTCTCCCGGAGCGGAGCGAGCTGGACTGCAACATCTGCTACCGGCCCTTCAACCTCGGGGGCCGCGCGCCCCGCCGCCTGCCCGGGACGGCGCGCGCCCGCTGCGGCCACACGCTCTGCACGGCCTGCCTGCGCGAGCTGGCGGCGCGCGGCGACGGCGGCGGGGCGGCCGCGCGCGTGGTGCGCCTGCGCCGCGTCGTCACGTGCCCCTTCTGCCGCGCGCTCACCCCGCTCCCGCGCGGCGGCGTGACAGAAGTCGCCGTCGACCCGGATTTGTGGTCGCAGTTGGAGAAAAAAGCACTGGCCGACTGCGATCCGGATGAGGCGGGCGGCCGGGTCCGGGAGAGCGGCCGCGTCGAAGACGGGGAGGAGGCGAGCGAGAAGGGGGCGGGGCCCCGGAGCGCGGGCTGGCGCGCGTTCCGGCGGCTCTGGGACCGGGTGCTGGCGCCCGCGCGCCGCTGGCGGCGCCCGCTGCCTAGCAACGGTGAGCGGCCGACCCCCCGGGGGCTGCCGCGGCTGAGGCGTGGGAGGGAGCGCCCCGGAGGCATCTTCCAGCTGCCACTAACCCGCCTTCTTTTCCCCAGTGCTGTACTGTCCGGAGATCAAGGACTTTGCCCACATGACTCGCTGCACGCTGTGACGGAGGCACCCAGAAGCTACGGCAGAAGGAAGGTGGGAGCTGCATTCTCGGGGCGTGCATTAGTACAGGGGGGCTGATGCCAAGGCTACCCCCTCACAATCCGGATTGGCACTGATGAGGCAGTTAAGCCTAGGGCAGGAGGGAACGCCCTGGGAGGTTGTTGATACTGAGCTGGGGAAGCTCCTAGACATTCTCGCCCCCATCTACTGACTGTGCCAGTCTTACATATTCAGGATGGAGTGGCCCAGGGATGACAGAAACAAAGTCGACGTTTCCGTGGGAAGAAGACAGACTGTTTCCTTAGCTGTGACTTTGGCTTTTGTCCAGAGCAGCTCTGGTGTGTGGGAACAACGGGTCCCATTTTAGCAATTCTGTCAATGGCTTGAAAATTTTTTAAAAGATGGAATGGAGAAGAGGCTGATTTTTGTGTATGCTAATCTCATTTCTCTAGCATGCAAGAGCACTGAGAAAAATAAACCCTCTCCTCTCCCCCCTCGTTGCTGGTATGCCCACCGTCTCCCCCACATCCAGTCCTGTGCTCCTAAAATTGTTCAGATGCTTATGAGGCTAGGAGCCTTGCTTCATTTTGGAATTTCCCCTCAATCTGTTACGGCATGTATCAGAAAGTTCAAAGGGCATTTATCTGAGGCCCTATCAAGGATAGACAGGAGAGCCATTTGGTAAAAGCATCAATTTTTAGGCCTTTGATATCTGTGTTATCTGTAGTCACTGAGTAACCGTCACTATTGAAAAAAAGAGTTTCGCATTGTAAAATTTTACACTTGTGTCCCTTAATTGGACATCAACTACTGCATGCCATGGATTCTATTTCGAAATCCTATACATATCTTAAAATAGTACAATTACAGTTAAGGACTAGCAAAAATGTTAGGATTCCACTTCAGACTCACTGAATCAGAATGTGCATTTTAACAAGAATCCCAGGTGACGTGTGCATTGGTCCAGGTGTGACTTAGGCTATTACGATCTCTGAATGGACTATTTCAGACACAGTTGGTATAAATGAGAGTTGTAGTGAAGGTTCTGAGGTGTCATTATGTTGCTAAAGAAATCTAAAATTTTTGTGAGCAAGCTTATTGTTTCATTTTCCTCTGTATTAAAAAATGTGAACTTAGAAAGTATAAGCTCAGTTTCTGCAACCGTATTTTGGCATTTTCCTGTTCTTGAGTCTCATCTCAGCTTAATGTTGCCTCTTTTATACCTTTCTTAGCATTCTACCTCCAATAGCCCCTCCCTTCACCAGTACTCTTGCAATTTCACTGTTTTTTTCTGGTATGTGTTTCATTGGTGTCCCTCAAAAGAATGTACGCTCATAAGAGCGGTGTCTGACATGTCTGTTTTATCTTCCAGGGCCAATGGCAGTGTTAATGTATAGTATTTATTCAATAAATGTTTGTTGTATTTATCTTTTATTTTTTAATATGATAGCCTCAAAAGCTGTTTTATTTCTCTCAACCTTTGAGAAGCTCTGGTAGTGAACAATACATGTCAAGGAAGTGTCTGGCAATTCAGATTTCTGACAGGCTATGCAGGTGTTGTCACCCCTCCCTCCGCCCAACTCCTTAATAAAAGGGTGTCTCTGTATACTTGGAAATGAACCTTTGGAGCTGTAGTGACCTCTACTGACTCTTAGGGGAACTAAGCAACTTCAAAGTGGAAAGTTCAAAAGGATGAACGGAAGGTACTTGTGAATCCTAGCACACTCTTCCCATTAAGCTCTGTCCAGTAAGCCCTGCTCTCTCTCTGATCTCAGCCTGAGGCCCAGCTAGGTATCCTACTGCTCACCCTCCATCTCTACTGAGTTCATCACATCAGCATTGGTTGGAAATAAAATGAGAAAAAGGAAAAGTCAGAAGATTTAAAAATGGGGAGAAATGTAAAATTTTTGTGAGCATAGCTAATTGTTTCATTTTCCTCTATGTTGGGTGAGGGACAAAATAACAGGGAAGAGAGAAAGATGGATAATATGAAATGGCAGAAAGCAACACCCTTTCTTATCTCTCCCCCCAACCAAAGAACTCCCCCACTCAAAAACAACAGAGCACACAGAAAGGAAAGTATAATTTATATGTACAACCAATAAACCTGATACAGAAGAGGGGATTGGGACAGGCCAGGAGTGGGTGTGAAAAGACTGGGAAGGGGGCAGCAAGAAAGTGAAGGGGCAGCGAAGAGCAAGTGGGGGGTTCGCCATGCAAACTGCCACTCTCCCCGGCCCCTCCTGGGGAGGAGGATGTGACCAAGTCTCCCCAGCCTGCCCTCCACTGTTCTGCTCTGGTCCCAAAGGCAAAGTAGACCTGTGACTAGACTCCCTGTCTGGCCCACTCAATTTTAGTCTTATATTCAGGCCTTCAGGAGGGAGGGTACAAGTCCTTCAAGAACCTGAGCCCCTGAACTAGATCCTCCCCCCATGTCTGGCCTGTTGTGTTCTTTCCCACCCTTTTTAGGTTACCTGCATCCCTAGGATAGATTGGAGGGGGCTCCTCTTTGGCTTGAGGGAGTATCACCCAACCATTACTCTTTGTAGAGGTGGTCCTTGGTCCCTGGGGGGCTGGGGTGGTGGTGGTGGGGGGGAGATTTCCAACACAAGATGCCGGTACGCAGGAGGTAAATGAGCCAGTGAACAGTGCCTTTATTCTCAGGCTGAACAGCAATTGACTCCCTCCCTTGTAACTGCTCCACCCTCCATCTGGGGAGAAGTAGGGGAAGGAAACATGCAGCCACCCCTCCTCTTCCTTTCCTCCCTCCCAAGGCTCATTGTCATCCCTCTCTAAAGTTGCCCTCCTCTCTTCAAAGCTCTTTTCCCCACCAAAGTTTCTAAAGGCCAGGCCAGCTAATTCCCCACTTCTGTAGGAGGTGGGGTTTGTATTGCAGGTATAAAGACTGGGGAGGTTCCACCTCTTGCCTCCCCACAACCATTTATTGGGAAGCTGTGTGTGTTTGGCAGTGGGGGATAAAGGTACTTGGAAGACCCTGCTAACCACCTCCCACCCCGACCTCTTCTCACCAGCACAGTCTTCAAAGCGTGGTGGGAAAGGTACGTGGGAATGGAGAAAGACAAAGGGCCCTTCTTGAAGAGAGGAGTTGTAGAGAGGGGTAAAGGGGCTTCTAGCCCAGTGGTGGCCCAAGGTTTGGGGAAGGTGGAGGATTGGCAGCAGGCACCGGAGCCTGAGCTGGGGGTCGGCCTCGGGGGCGGGGCCTGGGCGAAGGGCAGGCCTGGGATCCAGTCAGTCGTCTATACAGATCACCTCCCCGGCTCGAGACTCCTTCCGATCCAGCCCGTCTGACACCAATGCCCCCACCATTTCCTTCTCCTTCTTCACCAGCACTGGAGGGCCGTTGGTGGCGGCTGTTTGGGAAGGGAGTAAGGATGGATCATCAATCCCTACTTCACTCCCAAACACTGCTTCCTGACAACAGAATGCTCTTAACTTCCAGATCACCTAATGCCAGGGTAGGGGAAGGAAGACCAAGACGAACCCCTCTGTCACAGGATTCCCCCCTGTGCAACATGATAGAACACATGTCCCAACTCTCAGTGTATCCCCACCCCTTTCTGATTTCATCCTCTTTCCCTGAAGTAACCCAGATGGAGGAGGATCAGACAGAAGCTACCAAGTCACAGAACCACTAAAACCCTGGATGAGGTTTTCGACAATGGGAATAGAAGAGGCTCTAAGAAAGGGATGGGAAGAACAAAACCCAGAACAACTCCACTCCGTAAAATGCTGGCTACTTCCAAGGAAATAAGATGGGCTGGAACAGTGAAAGGGTAGCTAAGTAGGGAGAAAGCTTGGAAAAGGAACGGGAGAGGCAGCGAGCAGGAAGTGACCAGCTGACCTGTGATGAAGGACCCTGCCGGCATCTGGCTGTAATTGGCGCCTGCGGCGGCCAGGGCCCCTACGGGGGCGGCGCTGAAGGCTGCCCCGTACCCCGGAGGTGTGGCGTAGGGACCCGGGGGAAAGGCCTGGAATAGAAAGCAAGTCAAAGTTAGATGCTCTAGTCTTTGAGAGGAAAGGAGCTATAAGGGAGACATTATGGGCTAACGTCCAGTACTACCAAGTAGCATAACATACAAGCAGGGAGACTCAGGGTGATGAGAGTATTCGAGCAAGTTGTTTTCCACACTGTACAGGATTTTGATAGAAGTGTTTATATGTGTACAGGAGAAGTTCCAACAGGGAAAACTGGAGTTAGGGGGAAAGAGGGTTACCGGTGTGGGGTGAGGCTCCGTGCCCTTGCTGGCCAGCCGGCTGAGGATGCTGCGCTCGGACATCTGAAGGCGGGCTGCGATGGGGGGTATTCGGGACAGCGTGGCTGGCAGGCGGGTCACGTCCGCCTTCATGTCGCTCAGCAACTCCTCCAGCTGGTTCAGAACTGGGGCCCGGGCCACGGAGAAAGAAGGGCAAGAGAAAGACAGGGAAAGGGAGAGATGGAGCCAGGAAGAGACGAGGAGTCAGATGGACAGATACAGTCAGAAAAAGAAAGGACACAGATGTCAAAGAACCAAAGACCAAGAAAATGACAGAAGTAGACAGCAGAAAAGAAAGCGACTCAGGGGGAAAAAAGTGTCAGGTACAGAGGCAGAGAGACCAGATTAGCACAGAGACAGATGGACAGAAGGAAGAAAGGAAAAGGGAATATGGAGAAAAGGGAGACGGGGAGGACATTGGAAGACATGGGGGCGGGGAGTTGTCAGAACATCCCATACTGGAAGAGTGAGGTTTGGGGGTTGGGGATGATGGGGAGGAAATAGTTAGGAGGTGTGGGAGGTGGTTAAGTGGTGTCAAAGATTAAAGGAATCAAGATTTTAGTATCTAAAGGGGGAGGGAACTTAAAAGGGTCAGCATTACAGATTCAAGGTATCAGAACAGAAATCAAAGGGGTCAGGAGTCAGTTACCACACCAGGGAGGATTAGATGGTTTGGAATTGAATCAATTATTATCAAGGTGAAAGGATTTGGGAGGAAGGGTTGAAGGTCAAGGGAAGTTTCATGGGGTAGGGTCAAAGGGTAGGATGGTGGTCGTGTCTGCCTCAAGAGGTGAGTGATATATGAGGGAAAGTGATTTGTGGGGTCAGGGTTAAGGATCTTTGTGGACTACACGTAGCCCAAGACCCTGGAGTGGAAACTTAAGCAGTATGGCAGGTGTGGGGGTCAGTGAAGGGCTACCCTGTGGAGACATGGCATAGTCTCATGGAGTTGGGGGGATGGTCCCTATATTAGGTATTGATGCAATTAGACACAGACGAGGGCTGGCTACAAAAATTCTAGAGGCTAAAGAACCAAGGGGGTGCCAGGTGGGTTGGGAGTGGGGTTACAGGTCAAAGGGGGTGGTTCAGAGGGTAAAGGGGTCAAAGGGGTGGGAAGATTTTGAGGGGTGCGGGGTGAAGACTTACGCAGCGTTGTGGGCCCTCCCCCGCGCGGGGCCGCCGCGGCCCTTACCCTTGTGCAGGACGGCGTTGGCCGGCTTGTTCCCCGCCAGCGACTCCTTGGAGAGGTGCTGGTGGCTCTCGGCCAGGCACTCGGCCTCGGCGAAGCGGGCGTGGAGGGCCATGGCGGGGTGCGCCGGCTCCTGCGATAGGTTCAGGTAGGCCGCCCGCCGCAGCTGCTCCTCGATCACCAGCGCCTGCTCCAGGAGCTGAGGACATGGTAGATGTGAATGCAGGGACCAGCCAGGGTGGACACAAGCAAGTGGATGGGGAGACCAGAAGCAGCTCTGGAACCCCACACTGCGTACATTGCAGGTCCACAGCACCCTCAGCTCCACACCAATAATGCTGTGACCCCAGCATTAACCCCCAACCAGACGACAATTCCAAACACAAATTCACACTCTTGTCTTTGGCGTCAACCGAAGTGTCAGTTGATCACACCCCCCACTCAAGTTGTTATGATTCCCTAGATTCCAAGCGGATCTGCTCCCACTTCTGACCCAAAGCCCTCTTCAACCCTGTCCTTTTCCGCCCTTACCCTCACCTTGAATCTCCGGGCCAGGAACTTATTTTTCATCTCCAGAAAGTTCCCTTTATTGGCTTCAGTTTTAAATGGCTCATTGATAATGGCAAACTGAGCATCATTCTGGATGTCCTGCCACCGTGCGTAACCATGGCTGCCAATGAAGGGGACCATCAAGGAATTTAACAGGGATAAAAGGGATGAGCTGAACTATCAACACTTCTTCCCTTAAAAAAAAAAATCATTAATTTAAAAATTTTTGAATAATTCCTTTTGGCCCAATCTCTCCAAAAGCAGGCACAATTCCTCATCCCTGGGTGTGCATATGTCTCTGTAGTTCCCCTCTCTCTAGGTTCAGAGAAACTCCCCCCGCCCCTGGCATTTGTATCAAAGGATACAGAACAATCCCAGCCAGAAGCCAATAGTCATGTCTTCGGTGCCAGATCTCATTGAGTTTCCCCGAGGAAATAGCTGCCCGTTCCTCATTCTGCCACAGTGTGTGAAGCTCTGAAAAGAGGATGGAAGACAGATCAGGTATCAGGAGTTTGTGAACCACACCCAGCTCAACTGATAGGTACAGATGAGGTAACTTAATAGTGGTAGAGCACTAAGGGCTTGTTAAGAAAAACAAATAAACGTTAGGTTAGGAATAAAATTAATTATAAATAATGTTCCAGTTAGGCTTAGGAATGAAGGTGAAATTAAAGACAGCTTTGGAACCAGGAGAACACTTCAGAGATAGCATGCACCATATCACCAGGAGCTACTTGGAATTAAAGGCAGCAGGAAGTCTCAGGCAAAATGAGAAACTCCATGAGATGAACAAATCCCAGTGGGGAGCAGGTGGCAGTGACACCTCCCCAACGCACACCTGTGAAACCACCGTCTGCGATATTGAACATGAACCGCGGTTTCTCTGCCTTCTCCTCCCGTCGCCCATTGGGCCGTGGCTCATCTCGAGGAGGCCCAGGTCGAAGCTCCCGGTCCCCCTTTACATCTTCTGCTAGGACAGACAGGGCAGAGCTCACACCTCAGAACAGTGTTCAGTCCCAGTGCCGGGTCCCAAGACTACTCCCTGTACTGCACTGGCCCTTGGAGCAGCTACCCACCCATGACCCAGGCATTTGGTCCCCCAGATGCCACCTCCCCTGATTCCCTCGGGGACTCGGGTGTCCAGTCCTTCCACCCATTACCTCTCTTGCCCAAATCCCCTGTTTCCCCCTCCGGCCTCTCCCTGTGTTCCTGTCCATCCAACGGCTTCTCCTCCCCCCTCTCTCCTGGCGTCGAATCTGTGGCTGTGGGAGGGGGTAGGGGATAGGAAGGGGAGATGTCACCCTCATTCTCTGACCTCAGAAGAGGGAACCCCCAAAGTCTAAGTCCATCACCACCCCCCCTAAGATCATGTACCCACCTGACTTCTCTCTGTCCCCCCGGTACCCAGGTTCGGGTTCCATCTCTCCAGGTACCCCTGGCACCTCATCCTCTAAAGGAGTCTTCCTCGGCTCCAGCCGCTCCCCTAGCGACGGGGCTGGGCTGGGGGCATCAGTCTGGGGAAGGACAATGACAGCGGGTTAGGATGAAGCAGAGGGTTCCCAGCACTCAGCCTCCAAGACGACCCCTTTACTCCCTCCCCTCAGCGGGAGCCAGGTAGCCACACACCTCTGTCTCCATCTTCTCCCCAATTTTGCTATTCTTTTCTGGCTTCTCCTCCTGGTTTTCTGCTTCATCCTTCTCAAAAGGTGTCCTTATACCATCCCCTTTCTCACTTGGAGCTGGAGTAGCTGCAGGGGAAGAAAAAGTGAGAAGGCAGAAATCCCCCCACTCTGACACCATTCCTTTTACATCTGCCAGACAGCACCCCTTTCTCTCCTGTCATCCCAACCCGATTACCAGGTTTAGAGGTGCAAGGACTGTTTGTAGCAGAAGCCTCAGGGGTGGTGGGAGATGTTTTGGTAGGAGAGGAGGCTCTGGAGGAACGTTTGGAGTCAGCACTGGGGTCAGGCATCAGCTCAGGCATCGACCAGCGCCCATTGATATGCTCAAACTCCTGTACCTGAAGTGAGCAGGGAGGTTATAGGGATCAGCTCCTGAACTGGGCACACAGGAAGCTCCAGTCCCCTCTGTCTCATCTTACACCAGCCTGAGTCAGGAACTCAGGGACGCAAAGTAAAGGAAGCACAGGGCTTAAATAATGCCCAGCCTGACTCTCTGGATGAAAGGAAGACTAATACCTTCTTCTTGACGAGGGACATGACTCCAATCCGGGTCAACACTTGTTGGCGACTCAGTCCCTCCCGAGGGACCCCATCAGCAAAGGTTTCAGAGCCATCTGCCCCAGGCTCACAGAGATGGCGCATGAACAAAGATACATAGGCCCTAAGGAGCATTAGGAGATGGGGGACAGGTGGGTTAGGAGAGCCTTAGAAGGGACACAGGGAAGTGGCGGGGAGGGCATGGGGTTACTGAACCCCCAAACCCTAAACTACCCGAGTGCCTCCAGGGTTCTTTCCCTGGGCCTCTCCATATCACCACTGCTAGTTCTCCGAATCTTAACTCCCCTCTCCCCCTTTCCCCATGTACTTCCAAGGTCTCCTTAGCCTGGGGACTTTGTTCCTAGGCTCCATCAGTCAGCTCTTCATCCTTTCCACCAGCTCCCCTGCCAGGTTATCACAGTCAAATAAATGTGAGGCAAAGACAGGCCAGGGGAGGCTCCTTTCTTAACCGCCTCTCCTAAAGGGGAGAGAGCCTAGCCTCTCTACTCTCGGCTCGTCTGAGGGGAGGTGGAGCAGGCTGAGTCCACCCCCCAGGAAACCGAGCCAGGAAACATGGCTGGGAGCATGATGATCAGTTGAGTAAGATCACATCATATGGTAGCCAAGAGGAAGAAAGTAACACCCAAAGCTCTTACTCGCATATCCAATTCAGCCACGTATCACCCACACTCACTTGAACTCCTTTTCAGTCTTGCCCCTCAGGTCCCGCACCAGCCACTGAGTGGTGAAGGCGTCCTGGGGCGGCATCCCCCAGCGCATCACTGCATTGAGGAAAGCCTTCCGCTGGCGGGTGTTGAATCCCAATACCTGTGGACAGAGTGGGCAATGACAATCCACAAGGGACACTTCTTGTTCTTTCTACCCTCAATGACTCAGCCTGTTTCCAACCCCCTGAACACCACTTTCTCCATAGTGAACACCATGGCCAGTGTCTGGCTCTCACCTCAATGTTGCCCCCAACTCGAGCCAGCAGTGGAGGCAGGGGCTTGTCCTTTTCATTCCGGAGCTGCCTCTTTGACTGTCGACGCCCTGGGTGGGGGGCGGGGGTATGACCCCAGTTAGTAGGTCTACCACCTCCTCCACCCCTCTATCCTTCCCAGCACCTCATTCCAACATGACACAGGACACAGGGAAGGCTTGTGTCACATCTGAGGCTCTTCTTAATTTTTTCCAAGTACTTTCAGAACTACTAACCCAGTAGGTCTAAAAGAACCAAGTCATATTAAAAAACTGGTAGCAGATAATTGATAACAGCAAGATTACTGGTAGGAACAGGAAATGACATAAGCTTTCTTGATCTAGGAAGCTAAGCCTGCATGGTTATATACTCCAAATTTGAATGGTGGAAGGATTATAGATATTTCTCCCTAACTGCTTATAAGCCATCTTTAGTCATTCTGCAGAAAAGCAATGATTTATATAAAAACAGTGAACTTAAAGGACACTGCGAAGTAAATGGGAAAAGCTGTTGGTAGAAAATCAGGAAAACAGATGCCACCTTCGGGACGCTCATCAAAGTCTTCATCTTCCTCTTCTGAACCCACTGAGTACTCTGACTGGTTATCTGTGAGGGAAAGGGCTCATCAGTCAGTGATAGCTCCCTGGATAAGCCCTCCTAGGGCCCTCCTGTTCCCCTCAGAGATGTCTGTAGCTTCACTCTGGCCTTCACCCCACCTGCCCCGCCCCGACCCAAGAATGATGGCTGACTGCCTATAGTCTGATTTTTAGGTCATTTATCATGAATTATGTCCTCTCTCCACCCACTACCCACCGTGTCTCTCAATGACTCCTTAATCCATTCTAAGCAAGGACCCTTGGGTGTTCCCAGATGGCCCCTGCAACCACCAGATATCTTAGGTCACCTGCAAACCTACCTGGTCTCCAACCTTCCTAATCTTTCACTTTAGCAGGAAAGGGTCTGACCCCCACACATCCCTAAGCCCCTCTTCTGTACTCTCGCCTTCTTGGTTCCTGCATGGGGGCAGTTCTCACCTTGGTCCTCCTGGGCAGCATCATTGTAGTTAACTTGCTTTCGAACCCGCTTGCCCTTGCCAAGGTTCCTAGCTAAGTCTTCCTGCTGTTGTTCATAGTGATGCCTCAGCAGCTTCTCCCAGTAGTCAGGGTCCACATTCTCCTCTTGTTTGATAATCTCACGTTCGATTTCCTCAATCTGAAGAACAGAAGAATGAATGCTGGGAGGAGTGAGCACTGATGGCCTCCCTCTTCCCCAGTCCTTCCATCACACAAAATCCTAACACTCTTGCCTCAGCACCATCCAGTCTCACTGCCCTAGAATGCCTCAACTCTGTAAATGTTCTGGACACTGTGTGAATTCTTTATCTCTTACCTGTAATATACATCTTCTCCTTGTTAGTTCCTGCTTTTCTAAACCTTTCCTCTACTGCCCTCTGTGCCCTTCCTGCTCTGACTCGGAAGGTACCCTTCTGTGTTTATTGCCATTTTCTGTGCCTACGTCTTTCTCCAAAGGCTGGTGTCACCCATTAGACAAAGAAGTTGTTTGAGGTCTACTACTGCTCTTTCTGGGCACTGTGATGAGAGATGAATTAAGAAACAAGAGTAAAGAGGGGTCTACCTACTTTGACAACCAGTAACTACCCAGATAGACACCGTCTGGGCCCCAGCATCTCACCTTGTCTTCTTCCCGCACCACATACTGTGCCACCTTGAAGGAGCTGAGATACTCATTCATGTTCTGTACATCAGTGTCCTCAGTTGCATCCTGGTTCCGGTCTAACAGCCGAGCAATGGCCTCATTGTCATAGTGAATCACACTGCTGTCCTCCTCCTTGTTCTCCCCTAGTGGAAACAGGGAGCAAGAGGACTCTGAGTTCTAACCAGAACCTTGGGCAGAACTTTAAAGGGCAGAGGAAAACCTTCTTTTTAACAGGAACTCTAAAAGAAAAGGCCCTTTCCCTGGTAGTCCATGTAGAGATCTGTTGCTGCTTTCAACCCAGAAATAAAGAGACCCACTTTCCTCCAAGAACAGAAAAGTTTTTCTTTAGGGGGTTTCCAAAGAGAAGTGTTCCTGGGAGATAGGTGCCTGCTTTCAGGGAGCTAGAGAAAAGGTTCTTACCCTCGTTTTCATCCTTAAACAACTCCTCAGTGCCAAATTTGAGAATGTCATCCAGCTCCTGCTTGGACATGGAGCCTGCCTTGGAGCCCAGACCGGGCCGTACCACCAGATGTGTCAGCATCATCTTTCTCTTGGCCACTTGTGTAATTCGCTCTTCCACTGACGCTCGAGTCACAAAGCGGTATATCATCACTTTGTTGGCCTGGCCGATTCTATGAGCACGGCTGAAGGCCTGCAGGATGGGGGAAAGTGGGGATGGGCCAGGGTAGTGGCAGGGTAGATGCCACCTCCACGCTTGGAAAAGAAGGCTGGCAAGGAAGGGTTTTCTACCCACAAAGAGGCCTATTTTAAGTCTAGAACATGACACCCTTGTCTCCATAAACTCATGTCTCTTTGATTAACAGTGCAGGTACTCCAGAAGGTGAATACCCACCTGGATGTCATTATGAGGGTTCCAGTCAGAATCAAAGATGATGACGGTGTCAGCAGTAGCTAGATTGATGCCCAGGCCTCCCGCTCGGGTGGATAGGAGAAAGCAGAATTGTTGGGCCCCAGGAGCTAGAAGGTAAGAATTAGCACATCAGTCTTTTCTTGTACCCAACAGTTCTGTCCACCTGCTCCTCGATGTTCCCTGACTGCAAACCACCATGCCCCCAACTCAAAAGCCCACATAGCTAATATCCACCCAGGCTAGCCCCCATCTCATCCAGGGACCCAGGTACAGATTTTTACAGGCTTCCCCCCACACAACAGGGACTGAGGTCTTCTTCCTCTCTCACCATTGAACCTATCGATGGCTTCCTGCCTCAGAGCACCGGTAATGCCACCATCAATGCGTTCATACTTGTAGCCTTCATAGTCTAAGAAATCCTCTAGCAAGTCTAACATTTTAGTCATCTAGAGCAAGAGAAAAGGAAGGAGTCTAGAGTGATGAGCAATGGGATGGGGCCTATCTTTTCCCTCCTATCTCTCTCTACCTTTTTAATCTTCTATTCCCTCCTCCCTGTCTCATGCTCCCCACTGCTGGTCCCTCCTCCGCTAGCTCCTCCTCAGTCCACATTCTTGTTATACTCTATTGATTTAAAATCATTTTCCCTATGAGGGTAAGGTAGAGGTTCTTCTCTGACACCCTGATTTCAGGGAAATCAATGAACCCCCTGAAAATCTGTACAGAATTGTATAATTACACGTGCAGTTTTCTAGAGAGTGGACCCACAGATTTTATCAAATTTCCAAAAGGTCTGTGCTCTTCCCTGTTCCCAATAAGGTTAAGAAACAGTAGCAGTTCCAGAGACTGCCTTGAGGAGGCAGATGGCTCACCCTTCTCCCCATCTGACTTAAACTGGACTATAACTTCTAATATCCATAATTAAGAACAGGTATCAGAGGCCAGGATGAACCAGCTATACCAGAAATTCATAAGGATGTAATCTTTTAGTCTCTTATACCAGGGCAGCCTCAGGAGGAGAAGGCAAGGGATCAGACCACAAGTGCACATGAGCTAGGGGCTGGATCACCTGTGAGAAGATGAGCACTCTGTGTCCTTGCTCCTTCAGTTTCCGCAACATCTTCTGCAGCAGCATAAGTTTCCCAGATGCCTTAATAAGTGCCCCACCCTCATAAGCCCCACTGGGGAGTTTTGGGGACTCCTGAAAAGGGAGAAAGAGGGAAGAGAGGATCAGGACACATGCCCTCAGATACTTACTGTGCCTACAAAGCTGGAAGCCCAAATCTAGCCCCCACACCTCTAAAATTACTACTTCTCTCAGAAATCCAGTCCCTGGTCTCCCTGCCTGATTGCACCCATTTTCAGAGAGTCAAGCATCTAATTAGCTCCCAGTTCTTTGTACCTACCATAGCAGCCACAGGAAAGAGGTATGGATGGTTGCAGCACTTCTTAAGATCCATCATGATGTTAAGCAGCGACACTTGGTTCCCACCACCTCGTGAATTCAAGGCCTCAAAATTTCGAGTAAGGATGTACTTGTAGTATTTTCTAAAGGCCAGGGCAGGGGCATAGAAGAGATACAGTGACAGAATTATATAATAAAGAATTATAATTTTGCCCTTGATGGCCAACTCTTGGAAAGTTGCCCCCAAATCCCCAACCCCTAGTCCAGGTAGTCCTCCTTGCTTCTTACTTCTGCATGGGGCTCAGCTCCACTCGAACTATGAGCTCTGTCTTGGCTGGCATGTTTTTAAAGACATCAGCCTTAAGCCTCCGCAGCATATGTGGCCCCAGCAAATCATGCAGTTTCTTAATCTGGTCCTCTTTGGATATGTCAGCAAACTCCTCCAGGAAGCCTTCCAGGTTGCTAGTGGCCAGGAGGTAAGAAAATGAGCAGGCTGTCAGGTTCTTTGCTCTTGACCTCAGACTCTATTTTTCACTCCAGATTAATCCTGCGTTCATGTATTTTCTTAGATACTCTCATCCCCACCTCTCATCTTGGCA